GAATCTTAGTTTACAAGACGGGCTGCTGAAGTGATTCAGTGAATCTTAGTTTACAAGACGGGCTGTTGAAGTTATTCAGTGAATCTTAGTTTACAAGGCAGACTGTTGAGGTGATTCAGTGAATCTTAGTTTACAAGACAGGCTGTTGAAGTGAATCATTAAAGTATCGATACGACAGATAACACGGTGCCAGCGGACGAAGTGTTTTTCTGCAATTATCAGGCTGTGGGACGGGTCTCTCTATCCCCTGTCCGTAAGAGTCAACGCCCTCGCCCGTGGTCACACTTCAGTTTCGCTCTCATATGTTGCATACTGAGGGGAAGAGTACTGTCCCTTCGGATGTGACGTCGTATAGTCTGGTACAAGTACCACCTCCATCTTCAGGGTGGAGGATGAAGCCCAGTAGGAACACAAGCGACCAGCAAGTAGTCACTGTGCGTGCTTTTAGTGCTTACGCGAGCTACTCGTTTTCGATCATGAAGAAGGAGGCAGAAGGTTCCTCCAAAATATCGGTAAACATTTACCAAACTCCACCGCCTCGCCGGAAAGATCGACGTAGCGACTGTAGACTTGAATTCGGGACGTACTCGGTTCGAATCTGGGCGAGACACAGTTTTCAGTAGTTTTCCTCAGTTTCTCTGGTAAAATGCCGGGAGAATGCCTCAATTAGGTCACGACCACTGCTTTCCAAATCCATTAAAATTCCCTCCACCAGTCAGCCTACAATTCGACGCCATATTCTGACACACTGACAGCGTCGTGAAACAAGCAACAGAAAGACACGCATCGTCATATCACCATAGTGACCGCCGTGAGAACCCTGGGATCTCACATGTTCTGTCGCTAGGTATGTTAGCAGTCAGAATTGTTAGTAGTTGCGAATCAGAATAGAACATGACGATAATTTCATGACGGACCCAGCACACAGCCTGGAGTCGTGGTATCAATAAACTTCAGAGAATTCTCGGAATTACTGTTTTTTTTTTTTTACTTTTTCATTTTCGGGCATTTTAAAAATCGTTAGAGAACACAAAGTTTTGGAAACTGGATCTCTTTCCGTCTTCAGGTGAGGTGCAGGGAGACACCAAGTCTCAGAAAGAGCTAACCTCAATTGTTGGTAAGTCCTTCTTAACGGACCCAACAGAGTAGGAGTCTGGCAACCCCCTCACCTGAAGAGAGAAAGAGATTCAGTTTCCGAAATGTTATGATCTCCAGTGTTCTTTTTAGAATACCGGGCGATAGGCAGTTTATCAGGTCAAAACCCTTTAGAATCTACTTCAGAGAAGGCTGCCGGTAACTGTCTCGTCATTCACAGGCGAGGGTAGCTCAGTGTCTGCTACCCAAGATGCTTACATAAGCATGAGAGTCGCTCATCTCCGTTCTTTGGCCGACAAGATGGTTCATGCCCAGTCTGCATGGAGGTCCTGTGGTCTGTCCGTGGCAAAGATGTAAAGGTTAGGCATCCAAGTAGCCATGAGCGATTGACAAGAGACTAAGGTTCGTTTCACTGCTTGTTTACGTAATATTTTCCACGACAGCCCATCGCAGATTTATTGCTAATTAGATTTGCGTTATTTATCAAGAGAAATTTCATTCCAGGCTGTTTATATATGCTAGGATTTATACTGATTAACGGGCAGTAAATGCCCTTCTAAACAACAGAGGCTTACTTCTACGAACAGGCTGATTTACCCGTGGCTTTCATTCGTCCCTCCTGGGAAATGCCGGGCTAGTTCCTGAACTGCACCACGGTTTTATATTTCCAATTCATTATTCATCAGTCACCCTACAAAAAAGACGGTATGTCTCAGTCGGTACAGTGACGACCTACGGGTTGGACGCTCAGCGCTTCGATTCCCGGCAGAAGCAAGGATTTTTCTCCTCCACAGCGTCCAGACGGGCTCTCCTATTTAATGAGTACCTGGGGCTCTTTCTCAGGGAATAAAGCGGCCGGGGTGTGAAGCTGACCACTGTACTCCAATTTTTGCCGAGGTCAAGAGTGGTAGAGCTATATCTCAACTCTTCCATACGTCTTCATGACGTGGTGGCTTAATTAATCAAGCACAGGCACAAGTTTACCTTACCATGATACCACGCTACGCTGTGCGACGCATAGTCTGGATACCGAGACCGTCGTACAATCAACCCCAAAAGTTCAGCCCCCCGCGCGATTAAAAGCACGTCTTCTAGAATTAAGATAAAAATGGGTGTTTCCTGTTTTTACTGTATTGTGTGTCACGTAACTTGCTTATACAGTGTTTACGCCAGTCAGCCTCACTAACTGACTTCATGGAGCTGAGCCCTTCTCGAGAAGCCGCCAGTCGCTCAGCTACTCAAGAACTTCCCAGCATTTTATGGAATCCGACGGTTCATTACCATGTTCACAAGAGCCCTCCATTGGTCCCTACCCTAAACCACGCGAAACCAGTCCATACCATCCCATCCTATCTCTATAAGATTCATTTTAATATTATCCATTTACGTCTTGGTCTTCCTAGTGGTCTCTTTCCTTCTGGGTTTCGAACAGAAATACTACATGCGTTCCTCTTCTCCCCAATTCGTGCTACATGCGCTGCCCATTTCATCCTCCTTGATTTGATCATTCTAATTATACTTGGAGAAGAGTACAAGTTATGAAGCTCCTCATTACGCAGTTTCCTCGAATCTCCTGTCACTTCATCTCTCTTCGGTCCAAATATTCTCCTCAGCGCCCTGTTCTCAAACACCCTCAGTCTATGTTCCTCCCTTAATGTCAGAGACCAAGTTTCACAGCCAATCATCATATAAAGTTTGCTCTTCAACGACAATGCGACATGATTGCGTTTGTGTTCTCAGAGAAATGGACAGCAGGAAGCCGGGCCCTGGGGAACATGGATCCCGCGTGAGCTGTCTCGATACCTTCCGGTCGCCGGAAGCGTGTGCCATACAAATTTGAAAGATCAGCTTTATCAACATTCGCCTCGGAATTTATTGGAACGTTTATTTTGGTTCGGTTTGAGTGAGAGGCTGTTTGCTTGTCAAGGACTCTACTCCGTGGAGCGCTTACGGACCGTCTAGTCCCACCCGTTTATTCCTGTGCGCAGAACTTGCGAAGCAGAACCGTGTTTCTGCAAGTTGCATCTGCGGTACGTCTGGACTCGATTCCATAACATTTATATTTGTTGTGTACAGCAACATGTAGCACGAATGGGGAGAAGAGGAATGCGTATAGGATACTGGTGGGAAAGTCAGAAGGAAGGCGACAACTAGGAAGACTAAGGCATAGGTGGGTGGACAATATTAAGATGGATCTTAGATAGGATGGGATTGTATGGATTGGATTGATCTGGCTAAGGATAGGGACCAGTGGAGGGCTCTTGTGAACACGGTAATGAACCTTCGGGTTCCATAAAATGCTGGGAATTCTTGAGTAGCAGCAGAATTGGCTTCTCCTCAAGAAGGGCTCAGCTCCATAAGTAAGTAAGTAAGTAAGCAACAGTAAAGAGAAATCTTATGGCCAGTTCTTCTGTGGTGACTGTCAGTGCGACATCTGCAGACTTTCACATGAAGCTCATATCGAACTTCTTAAAAAAAAAAAATCTTTATTCGCGTTAGATAGATAAGTTTTCTGAAAAACTGTGGACACTTCCGGAGGAATTGTTATTTTGTGCTTGGTTTCGGGCCGTATAATTTGGAGACGCAATTTAGGGCCCTGTAGCACGCTGCAGCAACGACCTCAGCATTTGCTTGAAGACCGAGGAAAACCAAGGAAACCTGTATCGACATGGCCTTGCAATCCCTAATCAAGTTAATCTAATAATAAACTTATTCCTACCTGTAAGAAAACACATTGAATCTGTTTTGGGGTCAGTATCAGCAGAGAGGGAACCTCAGTCCTCGTGCCGGTCTGTCGGCGCTAATTGGACAGCTGCTGCACTGAGATTGAAACCCAGGTGCAGAGGAGAACATCTCAGCCTAAAAAGGATTAACTCCCCTATAAGCCTTAGGGCAGAGTAATTAAGATTAAGGTCTTCTGTAGCTTGGTGGAAACTACACGGCGTCACATCCCGGAAGGGGATACGCCGATTTGAAATTCAGCAGTTTTCATTATACATAAGAGTTTGAAACTGTCATCTTATGCTAACAATTTCCTCTGTACTGCAACATGAGTTAAGGAAGTTAAAAATCTAAATAAGGTCTAAATATTTGTGGCAATTGAATATTAACATAATTATTGTGTTTCTAGACATTATCCGTCGTCCTGTCTTTATTTAAACCAAACACCACGTAGAGGAAACACAAGGAAACCGCCCACATGTCCCTGGCAGATCTTCTGATCAGACGCCTCTCCCATCTGGACTCCCGCTATCACAGCAGAAGTCAGAAAACTGCTGCTCCTTCCGCTGTAGATTACATGGGAAAACTGTGTATTTATATTGGCAATATACGGGAAATTTGTCTCTATAGTGACGACTGCTATTCTGTAGCACTCTGATTTTAACACCAATAGCCGTGAAACAGTGCATGGATATAAGTGCTAGACCTCGTGTGTGGGGAGGTTTTTAATGTTTTTAATGTTTCTCTTAACTCTCGCAGATGATTTATGCTGTGCTTGGTTTATATACCCTATCTTATGTGGGTGCAGGTGTCCGGAGAGAGGGGCTAGCTCTGTCGGCTGGGCCCAACTGAATAGGTTCGACCTGAAGACGGAGACAGACCCCAGTCTCCGAAGCGTTGTGTGCTTTAAATACAAAACTGGACGCTGCATTGTGTCCAGGAACGCAAAGAGACCCGCGACATTTCGGCCTATGGCATAGTGCCTCAACCAAATATGACGCCATGTGCCGTATTCTTCTTCTTCTTCTTCTTCTTCTTATTATTATTATTATTATTATTATTATTATTATTATTTTAAGTTGGTCATTTAATGATGTTATCTATTGTAGGATGATTAATGACTGTGGAGCAGTTGGTGGAACGAGAACTGGCACGGAAGCAAACTGCTCGGATAAAGTAAGTCCCAGCGTAATAATAATTCAATTCAATTAAGTTGTTTGTTATTTATGTGCCGAGTCAGCAGCTACAGGACCAATTACAGAAAGAGCACAGTGTATGTAGTTACTGTTAGCACAGTTTAGATACTAATAATTACATTACAGAGAAAGAAAGGCATAAAGGCAACGGCCACAAGGCCAGTTTCGGACGTAGCACAGTGGAAACAATTATTCTTTCTACCTCACACAACAGAGAAAAGCATAAGGGTAATAGTAATAAGAAAACAATACCAATAGGCAACAACCTAGCTATCCTTGTAACAGGCCGTGAAAATCGTAGGGTTGTGAGACGTCGAGGCTCCCACATTTTGTCGACAATCGGCTCACAGATGGCGGTAAGTTTGTCAGCCTTACGCACCGGCCGCCCTTTAACCCCAAGAAGATTCCTGGTACTCATTTCTGTTAGAGACCGAGNCATATATACTGTGTGAGTGTAACAGGATGCTGAAATATAATAATGTTGCTTTGTTACCCTTCGAAGATCTCCGAAAGTTCTTCGATTGCATAGGATAAGAGGATCCGTTGCGTAACAACGGATGAAACCGGAAAGTACACTTCCATGGAAACGCAATAACAGTGGGCCGTTGCATAGGAATTGCCGAAACAACAAACGCGTTTCCCCGGAGATGAGAGGATAAGAGGTTCCGTTGCGTAACAACGGATGAAATCAAACACTGCTACAAGGTGTTCTGTGTTAGCATTTCCTAAGCAACAGATGAAACTAACTCTTCGATAAGGTATTCCCTATCCCGTCCGAATTAGTTCTGATACTGCAAGTGGCAATTCTTGCTAAGTGTATAAGTGTAAAAGCGAAGAACGATAAATACTCACGTGACGTACCCAAACACGTTACATCTATATAAACATAAATTGGATTTGGGCGTTGGAATTGGGCTGTGTCGTTTACCATAGCGTTCATTTAGTGAGTACAGTTTATTTTTCATCGTTTTTCATTTCGTTTTCTTAACTGTTCTCCTTATTTTTAGTGCAATTGGCGGTGGGATTGAGCTGTGTCTGAATTGAAATATTTCGTTAGACTGAGCCACAGCAACGCGTGGCCGGGTACAGCTAGTAGAGAATAACTAAAATGGCTTCGTACAAAGTTATCCCTGTACTTAATTATGTCATTAAGCACCATATCTTGAGGACACATGAGTGAGTGGAGGTACAGTTCCGCCATTTTTTATCTCATAACAAGATGGAAGTGAGGTTTCATGTTCATGCCTCTCATGCTTAATCCATCCCCCCCCCCGTGGATGGCGCCCAGGGTTTCTATTTGGGGGGGGGCTATACTAAACGCTGTGGAGAAGAGAAAAGTATCTTGTCTCTGCGAGAAATCGAAGGCCGTTCGTCCAGCCCGTAACTATATTGACTGAGCTATCCCGGTCCCATATACACTTTCCTAAAAGTTTCCAATGTAGAGAAACGTCCTCTTCATAGGTTTCTCGGTCACGCAGTTCGGATAAAGTGACAAAAGATGTCACGTGCTGAAAGATATGCCAATTTTCGTAGAAGTGGCACTTGTAGGGTTAGGAAAGGAAAGCACACTGAAGAAATATGCTCGTCCCTGTGTCACGACACGCTACAGGTGGCAGGTACTTCTCGGTTCTGGGCGCCCTTATTGTCACGCACATGCGCAGTTCGACCGCAAGACGTCGGTTATAATATCCAACAGGGCAACAAGTGGTCGTTTAGTCGTCTCGGCGCTCGCGTCTCGACGCCCGGTCCGGAGTCAGCCGCACTTGTGGGTGAGTGCAATTGTATTTAGATTGCAGCCGGACGGGAGATACGGCGCTCCTCAGTGGCGGGCAGTATCAGCAGATAACTTATCGATCTCACTTTGCTCTTGGTGGGCTGGTTGCAAGACGTTTCGGAGAACATAGCCGTCTCCATCTTCAAGGCGAAGTGACCAAATAGTGCCTTCTAGCCAGATCTTCTGAAACGTTAGCAAAAATGTTTCTGTTGCGTTACATGGGTTTGAATCTTGGTTTTTCACGTTAAGAGAAGAACACAGATTCGGGGTATATTAAAAAGGGTGCTGAGGGGAATATTTAAACGTAGGAGGGAGGACGTGAGGTTTCAGAAACTGGTACTCTTCACCATATATGAGGATGAGATGGGCTGGGTGTGTAGCATGAATGGGTAGATAAGTAATGCCTATAAAATTTGAGTCGGAAAAGCTGTAGGGAAAATGTTAACTGAAATACCTGGATGTAGATGGAATGATAATAATGATTTAACTGTTATTGTTTGTTTAACGGCTCTTAAGTAACAGAGCATGTATTGCGTCGATAATTTAGATGAAAATGAGTAATGTACTGAAAAGGATATGGATGGAAAGGGCTGTGACCTAATTTAAGTTACTAACCCGGAATTTTGTTTGAGGTACTGAGAAAGATAACGAGAAATCTCAGTCAGGAAAGCCGGTGTCCCTGTCCAGATCTGAACCGAGGACTTCCCGAATAAAAGCGTCACCTCTTGAGCCAATTTGCTTGTTAATATTGAACCGGATTCTCTTTGTGTGGCACTAGACTTAGGGTGCATAACTAAAATTTACAATAAAATTACTACATCTATTATTTAAGTAAAGTCATTTATTGTAAAAAGAAAATTATCGCAAAACAGAAAAGTACAGGAGCTTCCAAACTACATTCAACTCACTGAAGTTTCCATCGTGTCTCCCCCTTTGTATGCGCATGTATATATGTAAGAATTAACCGATTATTATTTTCTTAAGAGGATATTTAACATCTTCTGCGATATACCGCCATGTAATCTGTTGAAAGTCAACCGATGTTTCAGGGAAAATTGTCGCTTCCTTCTTCAGGGTCGAAGAATAAGCCAAGGAAGAAACGAGCGTGAAACCTTGTGGCAAGTAGAGCTGATTTCACACTGGTTTCTTGCTTGGTTTATTCTTCGACGCTGAAGGAGGTAACATGTTCTTCCGAAACGTCGGTTGAATTTCAACGGAGTACACGGCGGTATATCCCACAAAATATAACTCTCCATGACCGCCGCTCTGGGGACCTCATAACCTAAATTACTTTCTTAATTCAAATATTTAATTTTATATAATATTTATTCCCTTCAAA